ATGCAAACTATATTTGTGGTATGCGTATCACTGTTATTCTAATTAATATTATTATAAGAATATTATATCTTCCATTAGTGTGAAATTTTATGAAATATTTTATGAAAGAGCCTTACTCCGGGATTTAGATGGTAGTTTTGGGTACCCACGTTTACATGTTTTGGAAGCAGATTATTCGATTTCTAATTGGATAATTTTGTTTCCCCACGAATTGAGTACAAGTTGGTTTTACTGACTACGACTCCCACGCTGAGTTCGGGTTGTTTCAGTTTTGGCTGGATGATTCGTTATCCCACGCTGAGTTCGGGTTGTTTCAGTTTCGGCTGGACGATTCGTTCTCCCACGCTGAGTTCGGGTTGTTTCAGTTTCGGCTGGACGATTCGTTCTCCCACGCTGAGTTCGGGTTGTTTCAGTTTCGGCTGGACGATTCGTTCTCCCACGCTGAGTTCGGGTTGTTTCAGTTTCGCCTGGACGATTCGTTCTCCCATGCTGAGTTCGGGTTGTTTCGACAATTCGTTCTCCCACGGTGTGCTAGCATACGACCCTGGCCAAGGTCCCACGATCTTTGTATCCTTAGCTAAAGTCTAGTCCTAAGAGTAAAGGCTGAATAAAATGAATAAAGAATGAAGTGTTCAGAAAGCTGAATTATTTTCTTATAAACTTGAAGCAAGAATTATGTGTGATTATTCCATTATTGGATATACGTTTTCCGCTAAATGATTATTCATATGTGAAATTATGGACATGTCACGAAAGAACCCGCATTAAAAGAAATGTTGGGCAAAGATTATATGGAATTTTTATACGTATTTTTGAAATATGAAATTCTGAGAATTGCTCGTGATTTATGTTACCTCTTTCCAAGTGATAAATTATATTATGTGAAATAATTGTATTAATTTTAATTTGAATTCTATGATGATAATGTGTAATATGCTTTATTCATATGTTTGAATTATGTAAATTGACTATAATGATATTAATGTTTATTTGTCGTATAATTGAGTAGGAAATATAGATACATGTTTGTTATTACATGTTATATTATAGTACCACTCAACAATTCATTGCTGAGCGTGTAGTTTTCTACACGTAGGTGAATAAGAGATTCAAGGGGAGCCTCAGGACAAGGAGACATCTGGACAGGACTGCATTGCACATGTTTCATTTTACTGCTATATTTTAAATAAGTTGGTACTACCAACACTGTTTTAAAATTAAGTATGCTATGTAACAATTAGGGTTTTATTTTAAGTTGTTATCTATTGGTTAATTGTCTTTTATTTTCAGACTACCATTGAATCAAAATTATATAAATTTTACTTTTTATATGGAAAACATTTTCTAAAGTAGCATTACTGATATACTTTTATTAAAAGATAAACGACAGTGACATCTGTCCCGAACCAGCTAGACCGGGCGGGGTGGGTGTTACACATAGATAGATTAAAGATCAAATGAGAACATTGCTTAATGTGAGAACGTGAGAACACCATTTATTCCCCGACGTGTTGCACAATGAAACTTGTATATTGCACATTTTCACATTTTCACAATATTTATCAAAATGCAACCATGTTTATTTAATATAGACTTAATTCAAGCTAATTGAAAATGTGAAACAGAATAGCCTCATTGTGCACCACATTGGTCTAAATGTGAGTGTTCTCACGTTCTCACGTTAAGCATTTTTCTCACCGGAACCGCACTATATATATATATATATATATATATATATATATATATATACATACATACATACATACATACATACATATCCAACTTTTATCAAATTTGATTTTCCTTTTTGCGACATTATAAAATTTTTAATGTAGTTTCTCAATACGTAAATTTTGTCAATTAATAATATTTTTATTAATGACACAGATCATCCAACTTTATAGTTAGTCAAACATCGTAAAACGTGTGAAAACATTTAAGTGTGGTGAAGGGAGTACATTTTTTGTACACCTTTTCTATATTCTACACACTTTCGATTTTAATCGGTGTCTAATGTTATGCCATACAATAAAAAATGTCAGTCATAAATTAAATTTTATAGACAGTTATGGTGTTGCAATGTGGCATGGACAAAAAATATTACAAACTTCATACCAGTTAAGAAATGTATAATTTTTGTTCACATTTTCAAAAAAACTCATATTTACGATTTTTATCAGTGAAAGCAGATTTTAAAACAAAATATTGTTTATGATTTAACTTAACAAACAAAAGTTATTGGTACAAAGAATTTTTCAAAATTAGATTTTTGACTGATATTTTTTATTGATCACCTAACTTTACCCAAAAAAATGTTAGTGCGAAAGGTTTTGAAAATGGGTACTGTGATTAGGCTAGTTGTTGGAGGGACGCATAACAAGGAGGGAGGGAGGCTGGGGGGAGAGAGAGGGGCAAAACATGTTTTAAATTGGACTAAAAAATTCCTAATATTGTTTATTTAAATTGTGCCGGATATGTTTTGGTCATATACTTTATTTGTTACTACCTTCATCCCAAAAAGGTTTGTCAACTGTGACTTTTACGTAGATTGATAAAGAAAAAACTGTGTGGTTGAAATTTGTGCAGAGGAGAGAGAATTAAATTTAGCCACATATTCCTTACTTTAAGAACCCGTTTGGCAACAGTTTTTCGGTTTATCAGCCAACTTTTTCATCAAACACGTAATTTTTGTTTCCGCGAGCTGAATTGTGTAATAAGCAGAAAAAGTAAGGTTGGAGTTACTTTTCTGGCTATATTGGTTGAAGTTACTGTAGATGACTATTTTAGCTATTTTTACATATAATTTTTTCTTTGTTTTATTAATAAAATATATTTTAAAAATAATTTTTTCTTAAATCACCAGAATCAGCCAATGCAGCCACTTCAGGCAGAACTTCAAAAATTTTAGCAAAATCAGTCAAAACAGCCGATTTTGATACTACCAAACGGGCTCTAAATGAAAATGACAAAACTTTTTGAGACATTCAGAAAAGAAAATTTGGCAAACCTTTTTGGGACGGAGGGAGTATTATTTTTAAATACATCCCATAAGAAAGGAAGAAGAAAATGAAAAGGCTAAAAACAAATAAAAAGAAAAATGTCAACGAAAATAAGAAATAAAAATGGAAACAAAAATTTAGGACACAACACAAAATGACGTGACAATGAAGATAAAGAAAAAGTACAATGTAGAACATGTGCGAAAGAGGAAAATAGCTGGAAGATTAAATAAAGGAAAATGAAAAAAATATGGATGACCTGATATTACGGGTTGCTACTAGGTAAGTTGGGCTGATTGATCGATTTTTTTATAGTAAATGTGCATGTGATGCTTTTTTAGTAGAAGGGTTTAGGTGATGGTTTTGCAATAGTAAGAGGGCTTATTTGACCCTTTTTCCAAATATTAAAATCTGTGAGATGAGGAATAATTTTGTTCAACTGGTCCCTGATTCTCATTAGATCAATCAAGAACTCTCCTCTACAGCCCCCCGCCACACCATTTTCCAAGAAACCAATATAACCCCTTTCTATTGGACAAGGGCCGGTGCAAAGAATATTTTTGGAGAAAAAATTACATGGAATATTTTAGACTAAAAATATAAACATTTTTTAAATTTGGGCTGGGCCGGAGCCGCCTCCCTAGCTACGCCCCTGTATTGGATCATGATGATAATGATACCCTTAAACAGCCTGCTTAGAATGATTTCCAAAGCATGGAAGACCCTGATGGATTTGGCGCCTCATTCTTACTGAAATGTTGGGAGATTATCAAGTACTAGTACCTAGTATTACCCAATTGTAGATGAGAATGAATTAACCCAAGAGAATGGTGGAAGTGGACAGAACGACAAGAGCTTACAACATAGTTCACTGAACTTTATAGGAAGCCATGTAAATTGGAACTTATGACTGCTTGGCCAAGAAAATTCACTCTAATCGCTGGCTGCCATTTTTCTTATTTATCAATGATGAACAGGTGAGTTCCTTTGAATCTACTAGAGGCTTAAGAAAAGGGGGTTCAATCTCCCCTTCCCTCTTTGTAGTAATGGCTGAAGCACTTTCTAAAGGATAAACTACACTTATTGGTCATTTTTCATCCACGAAACCATGATATTCAGGGGTGGGGGGGCTAAAACATCTCTCACTAGACTACTTGAGTCTCACAGATGATGCTATTGATTGTTATATCACCAATGGCCTTAAACATACATTCAATGACTTCTTGTTGAGTAAACTGCTGGACCTAGCCAGATTCTTAATGAGGAGAAAGTTCTTTCATTATTATTACCTGACGTACTTGGGAGTGCTCCTTTACAAGAATTATAAAAAATAAAAATGAATAATGGCCTTGAAGATATGGCTGAAAAGGTTCAGATTAAACTGATTAGCTGGGATGATCATTTTTATCCATTGCAGGAAGGCTGATTATCGATTAATATGGTTCTTAATTCTACCTCTTCATATCATCAACAAGTGATGCTCCCTCCAAAAGGTGTGATTATGAGATTGGAAACCATGTTGGAGGATTATTGGCTTATTGCTACTCCATATAATTCTAGTTTGACACGTGGATAAACAGGATGGGGGTAGGTACATTCACCATGTTGCTCATATTAAGACCGGTCAAGCTTATCTACATCTTCAATGAGGTGGATCAACCCTGTTGGTTGGGTGATGATTTATGCACTTTCTGTATTGCCTCTATGTGTTCATAATAATTTCAAAATGGGTATAACTGTATTGCTTACCTTGAAGGAAATCTCGAGTCACTTTCTTCCGTCTAGAAACCCTCTGGACACTATGGTGATCTTGTATCCCTGCGGATTAGATCTAAAGGAAAGAGAAGGTTGGCAATTGGCATTACAGAAAGCCTCTTAATGTGTTTTGATGCTACCAGGAGAAAACTATAAAAATAAATCTAATTTCTAAACAACTTCATATATAATCATATTCAAGATAATAGAAAAATAAATAAATAAATAAAACAAATCAGATTCATTTGATTCATTTGCAATATGAAAAAACTGTGAACAGTTTTATTGCCATTGGTATCTACAGTGTAAACAAAATGATACACATTATAGAGCAAAACTAGTACTATCAAGTCTTTTTCCCGTGTAAGAAATACCCTATAAAATGGTTCCTTCCTGTCTGCTCAATATATGGACATCAAAAGAAAATGAGAACAGACCAAAGATTTGACTTTGCATCCAAAAAAATAAAAAAATAAGAAATTAAAAAAAAATTATGTATGGTCCCTATGCCCAGCTCCGATTTTCCTATGCCGCCTAGAGCCAGCCTTCTTCCCACGCTTGACACTTTTCCTTACTGGAGATCTGACAGCTACTGTGACCCCATCACTAACCAAACTTGGTGGTGGAGGAGGAGAATGAACTCTTACAGTGGCTTCTTGAGCCCTTTGCTCAAGTAGATCTCTGTGATACGCCTGCAAAAAATTGTGTGCACAAACTTTTATTTGGAAGGATAGGACATGCATTGGAATGAAATAAGACACCAGTTCATGCACACCACCCCTATTTTACGTAGTACTAATAGTCATATTTATTCACTGCTTCCTGCTTTTCAAATTGATCAGCAATTTGCAGTTATTAGGTTAAATGACGATAAAGTAAAATATTCCCTGCTAATACTTAAATCAGTAACGATAATTAAAGTTTGACACTTTGACTACTTAGAAACTACGATAAAGTTTCTATTGAAACGCAAAAACCAAATTCAAATACTACGTATGATATAAAAATTGATACTCAAAGTCAGTGAATAATAACAATTGTGTTGACTGAGAAAAGTAAAAGGAAAAATTGAAAATAATAATCTCAACTATTGGCGGTCCGCTGACAATAATCCCAACTATTGATTATTTTTGTATAATCCCAACTATATGGACTGTCCGCCAATAATAGTCCATGACCAAATATTATCTCCTATAACAAGTGAATTTTAAATAGAAATTAAGCGTAACAATTAAAAGTTGGGATTGTTTATAGAGATTACTTCTATATCTCTTGTCATCCATTTTAGAAACTACACGAATTTATTTATGGGACCATTATTGGCGGAAGGTCTCTTGGAATTCGGATTTTTTTTTTCGCCACAATATTTTGTCTAAAACTTTCAAAATTTCAAGAATCTTCAAACTTTTACAATATCTCCGAAACTTCCCATTTTTTTCTTTTAACCTGGGGGGGACAGTCTCTGTGCTCTGTTGCTCCAAAGGATAAAGGACAAGCCTGCATACATTTCAAACTCCCTGGCACTATTTTTGAGTAGGAAATACTGGGTAAATTTGGTTTGGTTTGGTATGGTATGATTTCTCTATTTCTGGCATGGGCTTCATAAATGCAATCCCACCTCTAATCAAATCCTATAACCCTTGTGCTCACAATATCCCATTATCCTCTCAGTCCCCAAGGGTTCTAAACAAAAGGAAGCAATTAGTTCCATTTTGGGATTAAAAATTACCTGTATCACAAAATTCCGCCTTTCGCAATCTAAAAACATATTGACTGTCCAATTTGTTTTGGACATCACTCTATCCCTTACTATGGCAAAGCTCAACTGGTCCCTGGAGGTAAATCTATCAACCTCATTGAACCACAAACAAGTGAACAGATTTGTTATGGGAATGTGCTCCCTTATGATTACACAACCCTCAGGAACATCTGCAAAATTTGGTTAGGAAGGAAGTAAGTTTTGAGACTCAGACAAGAACATGAAGATACACAAGACAGTGTCCCACCACTTGTTATAGGAAGCTTAGCCTCAGAATAATGTGTTAGACCCTCTTTCTTATAAAAGCCAATCTGTTGATCAATGGATTCATTATTGTACTTTCCTGCAGCTTTATTAGCTTCAGCTTCTTCAAATACATCAAAGCGTCTATAATGCCGTGAAATGGAAAAAGTAGCATTCTCCCTCCACAAAAACCTGGGCATCATATTGAGCAACAATAAAAAAGCAAAGTTAGATGCAAACTTTATGGGGCATAATTACAATTAAAATGCTATATCATGTATTTAGGTAAAAGGCACACATAATGACATGAAATGGTTAAAGAATGAGCCTTCCAGAACTAACTACATATGCAGATAAGGCAGAGCATGGGATATGGATGATATTTTACAGTAAAAGCTAAGCATGGTTTTTGTTACTGCTAAACAATTCAAACAATATTACAAGCCTCTTAAAAAATTACTCTAATCAGCACATGAATGCACATGCAAGCTCTACCATACCAAAAGAACACTCCTCAGTTAGTGTATAGAAGATATGAAAGAAAGACAAGATAGGGCTGGCATACCTCTCAAGAATTTGGTATGGATCTGCTACAAGCTGAAGCTTTCCGTCGATCCAAATTGAATATCGGACATTTGGAAAGAGCCTGTGCAGCAAAAGTTTGGGCACCTGCCACACAAATGTGATGTCATATACAGGATGCAATTTGATGTTCATAAATACTTCTGTTTTTCCCTTTTAGTAGATTCTTAAAGACTTATATATCCTTATACAGGCATCCCATGAAACTGTGGCCCATTGCCTTTTCTTCTTTTAAGCATTTTCCAGTCAGATATGACACAGACGCCTTTTATACACAGAAGTGAGTTTACTGGAGTTGGCTTATAAAGATATCTAGACCCACACAGGCCTCCTTCAGAAGAGCTTCCTAAACGAGGTTGATACATATGTATTGTTTTTGTAGGGTTCAGCATAATGGTTAGGAATTGCACAATATTTGGACAATATGGTCACTCTACTGACAAGATCTTCTGTAAAAGACAGAGACGTGGAGTAGAAGGTACCATCTTCCAAAAAGCCAACCAATGGATCTTTAAAAGTTGTAGTTTTGTAGCTCTTTCCCTGAAGTGTTAATGTCACATACTTATATACTACGCAATAATGTTTTCATCTTCACACAAAAAACAGCACTTCCAGAACAAAGAAATAGTATGGGGTTTCAGTAGAAATAAATAGTGTGATCAAATAAAGAAGAGTTATTGGTTCTCAGGATTTCTATTCATCTAATAGCATATGAAATTTGTTTATTGGCTTTCAGATAACCATTTCCAGAAAGGTTGCTATAAGCCTATAACTAATGTTTTTTGTGGTTCCTACATAAAGTTTAGAATAATATGGCATTTGGACAATCTGGCCAATTTACTGTCATTTGAACGTAGCATCTTGCGAAATAGTTCATGTAATGGGCCTTTAGAAGCTTTAGTTTTGTAGCTCTTGCCGTGGAGTGCTAATGGTGTCATAATCAATATATTGTGCACTATTATTTTCACCTTCAGACAAACATTTAGCAACAAAAAACACAGTGAAACACACAAAATGGTTGTGCATAGCCAACTTGTGTTAAAGCAATTGGGAATAATGAAGGGGTTGACCAGTTAATAGAAAACACAATAATCTTAAAAGGCTTGTGAAGAAGCTTTTTCAATGTGATTAGAAAAAATAGCTACTAAAGAATCTGAATAGTGAAAATCAGAAAACTTCTGGTATTTCAATCAGGTCATGAGAGAGTGTTTAGCCCAATACGGTTATAAGCAAGATCAAAAGCAAAAACAATTTTATATGCTCAGTTCCACTTATGCTCAGACAAATGTGGATTAGAGTGGTTAAAATTATACAAATTATACAATGGTGATTGGATTAGATGAGAGTATGACTTTGGAGAGAGCGAAGTAGACGGAGAGCATAAGTGTGGTCTTGTGGAAGTCTGGAAGATTGCTCTTTAATTGTTTATCTCCTTTCTCTATCTCATGTTTTTAACTCAGATATAATATGTCAATTCATGTTAGCCGGTCCCATACTCTTGGATAAATAAGAGTTGGATGTTATTGTTGTAGTACCTCTTATGGTAGCCTATCATGGTAGCAAAAACAATTTATATGCTATGTGTCAATTGAATTTCATAAAAATGAAAGTATGAAACCATTTTCTTTCTCAAAGAAATTCACAAGCCTCGAGTATAAGGCTATAAGCATATCTTGCATGCTCTTTTCACAATGGTAGCCTTCTTAAAAAATTATCGAAAATATATCAATAATATATCAAGAACATCATTCTTGAAAATTATTCTCTTTAATATCCCTGCTGTCACCTACTATTGCACAAAAATCACTGGCAATCTGTTGAAGATGCTGTGAGTTGAAAGATTAAAAGCTGGGGGAATCGAAACTCAGTCAACTATTTGACATACCTTCCCATTGCGTCTTGCATCGTTGTAAGGCACATTGTGAACACGAATTATCCTCCACAGTCCGACCCGGTTGTTGTGATATAAATGACTAGAATTCCTTAAGGATGTTTCTGTCTCTTCATCAACAAACATATAGAAGGGAACATGTTCTCTTGCAAAGGAACTGACATTCCTTGGTTGTTGAATCACATCATAGTTCCCTATTGACGGTTAATGTGGTACATGTAAACAAAAACAAATAAGCAAAGCATTCCCTGAGTTGAAGCCATGTCATGCGTCTTATGCTTCACAGATGTAGCAAGACACTCTTTGAGAGTTTGAGTAGACAAAAATAGAAAAGAAAACTGCAATTTAGTGGCATATGTTTGTCAAAGCAGTATACAGTTTAGCAAGTGATTGAGATTTTAAGATATACTACCTCTGTCCCTTTTTTATTGGGATGGAAGAGGGCGGCACGAGTTTTAAGAAAAGTGAGTTTGTGTGGTTGATATTAATTGATAAAGTAAGAATAAAGTAAGAATGATTTTGAGCCACACAAACTTTACCAAATAAGGTATGAGACAATTAAACAGGGACATCCCAATATGGTAAAACGGGACATTTAAAAGGGGACGGGGGGAGAATTTTATTATCTGATGGCAGCATGCATAGCAAAACACAAGTTCTTGGCATTTATAAACTACTCTAGTTAGGTTCTACTATTTGTTTGCGCTTTAGGTGTTCGTTGCCAAAAAACATCACGAACAACGAGCATAGCAGGGCACAAGTTTTTGTGATTTCCAAAAATGGAATCATGAGAAAAGTAATATATAATCCAACATACATGATGAGTTGAAAGATCATCACTCTCTAATGTGTTTCGTTTTTGTATTTGGATTTCATGAACCAGTCTGGTTAGATTTTTTTACTATTTATAAGCACTTTAGGTGTTCATTGCATCTTCAACGCTGAAATACCACATATGATTCTTGTATGAAATTCTGAAGGTACAGTTTCTTATCGACAATACCAAATATGGCTGATGCAACAATGACTTCATGGAACTCCTCCATCTCCCTTAGATCGGAAGCATCAATATCAAACCCAGTTTGATCTCCAGGTTTACATCCTTTGGCAAATCTAACCACAACATGAATGAATAAAAGATAATAGATGAATAAATAAATGTGTAGAGTATAGTAGAAGCCAATGTATCAGGCAATTAAAGGAAAATAATCTTGAGAATATCGAATTATAATGAGAAGAGCAATGCATCTTTTACCCACAGTGTACCGTCATCGATTCTTTTATGTCAAAAGATTCGTTCCTCTGCATCAAAGAAGGATACCCACCAAAGTCTGAACCTCCGCGAGAATAAGTCTTTGTGGGATTAATTTCACGATAATAAGTTAGATGATTGAGAACAGATGATGGTGAAGGGGTTCTGGGCATTCTAGCAATAGCCTGGTCCACGGGGAGATAGCATACAGGGCATGCTGGGGGGAAACAGTGATTCAAGAGTTAGTCACATTTTCAAGCTATAAAAGATATAAAAAATAAGAAGCCAAGAAATATAAACTCTAATAAACACTTGAATGGATTAGGGAAGGGAAAAAAACACTTGAATGGATTCATGTGAATTGCAGAGTTATAGAATGCAAAACTTCTAGGTTAAACTTACGGCGTGGCCCAATCCGCCTCCTCTCACCCGGAGGGGGGGGAGGAAATGCAAAGTTTCTGCAAGGGTGGGGCATGGCAGCCGCATTGTCAATAGAAAGCATCTTGACAGAGGTATTGGGAGAAAGCATGTGGTCCTTATTTGCACCACAAGAAGCAACCTTTTTGTTCAAGAGTGAAGATACATAATATGTGCTACTCCAAAATCCTTCTTCAAAATCCAAAGATGAGCTTCCAGATACATGCTCTGCAACAACATAGAATGCAGATTATATCTATTAATTGTGTGACAAATAAGAAAAGAAATGCTAATGGTTGAGACTCACAAGAACTGACAAATACAATAAAGAGTTCAAGAGGCAATAATATTAATAACAAAACAAAAAAGATATCATAGTAAGGATGCAAACCTTTGTTTACTGTTAAGAATCCTGTTGTAAAAACCAAAAGTGCAAAAGTGACCAAAATTAGCATCCCCACCTGCCTTCGGAGTAAAATTCTACAAATGTATGGAAGGAACCTCTCTTTCTCTCTGGAACCAGAAAGTGACATCTTCGGAGTCTTGCGCAGAATGAAAAAATTTTGAGTATGCAACATCTCATTTTGTGCCTGCTGCAATGATCCATAGCTCCCAGTACGAACACCCAATGACACCCCAGTCATTTTACCTCCGACCACAATGTATCATCCTTCATTTTTCTTCCTTCAAATACCCCTTCATTAACTAAGACACACAAGATTTCACAATACTGAAATTCTGACCTATCCACTAACAAACACTACTTCAAACTTCAAAGGAAGTACCACTAAGAAACTGTTTAAACTTGAAACAAGACTTCGAATTACTGATTTCAAAAAAGATCATGTGCAATCCTGTTCTCAAGATGGATTTGTTACAGAGAAGATTTAACTGTACAATCTTAGCCTCAACCTTGAATGCTCTAAAGGAGGCACAAAAAGGCCATTACTGAGATTTAATTCACCGTAACTCTTTAAAGCCGCGATCTCAATGCGCAGTGACTAACAAACCCATATTCTAAAATCAAATCAACTTCAATAATGCACAAACTAAGCTACGCCGCACCAGGTCGCTCCAGATTTCAGCAGCACGTTCAATTTGAACTGAATGCACTGTATCTTCAGCAGATGAAAAACTCGGAAATCAAGGCATTACTCTGCAGCTTCAATCAGCAATTGAATACAGAACTTGAAGCCGTCTCGGAATCCGGACAGATCAAAATCACAGAAATCAACAATATGCAAAAGAGGAAAATCGGGTCACCTGTGGTGTACAGTTATTTAGTGAGCAACCCGAGAGAGAGCTATTTTGGTAATAAATCCTTAATTCAGCAGCGGTTTCTTCGTACAGAAACGGAAATCCTTCAGATATTGTTCCATTCCAATTTCGAGCGCAGTTTGCACTTCGATCCTAATTCAGGCGCAGTTTGCATTCCGCTCCCTGAGCTTTAACATTTTCTGATTTGGCATGCAAAGTGGTCACTGCCTTTCTTCGCGGCCCAACTGTCAATTGTGAACTGCTCGTCTCTCGATAGGTGTTCCATTAAGATCCAAGAAAAGTCCTCAGCTAAGCGGGGCCCTCCAACTTTAAGATCCTAGTTATGCCACGATTCCCATATAGGCTCATAGATTTATGAAACCTACCTCACTCCTGAAGTCGAATTATTGTATCACCACCATGGCACCATTACTATTTATCCCTTCATTTTGATTGAGAATTAATAAAGTGAAAATTATGTAATTGAAATTTGTTCAAAGAAGAAAATTAACTGAAACCACACATTCTGAAAGTGAAAAAATTCTTGAGACATCCAAAAAAGGTTTGCAAAATTTTAAGAGACGGAGGTAGTATTTGTTAATAGAGGTCCCACTAAATAAATGAATGTTGATGGTATGTCATGATACCCCATATGACTCCATAAGTTTGCCAATGCTCAATGTTATCACGTTTCCAAATTGTTACTCTTATGTCCTTTAAAGCTTTCTCAAATTTGCTCGACACGGAAAATCATAGAAACCACAAATTAGTTTATTAAAAAAAAAGTAGCAAAGTTTTTTGGACAACCTGTAAAGGAAAGGTGACAAAGTTTTAAGGAGCAGAGAATAATATTGAGTATACCGTCAAATAATTAATATCTTCATCCCACTAACATTGGGACAAGAGTGGGTGACACTGTTGTGGTATAAAGACCTAAAAAAGACTAAAAGATACATGTGAAACCTAAATAGGAGTTGAAGCTTTTTAACTATAGTCTATAGATAGGAATGCTTTATAAGTGTAAGGACAAAAATAACTTCACGGCTTAAACATCATCACTTTTGTTGCCGCTACTTGTAATAGAATGCAACGGACCTCCCTAAAGAACTTGATCCTTTCAAACACCAAGGCGGGCCTGAAGCACATAGCTCGTCTTGTTCGGTACCCTCCTTAATTGAGAAGTGCATGAGAATTCTAGAATATTGCGAAGATGCCTAGAATTCTCTAGATATGTGTAGAGAAGTATTTGTAAGGTGTGTTTCGGAAAATAAAGAAAATTAATTAAAATAAATTAATTAAATAAAATGACTAGAGAAAAACAAGAAAGGAGATGAAGCAGAATTAGTCAAAGCTCGTGCTACGCACGATGTCCTTAAAACGTATTTGTTGCCTCCCACGGTGCTAGGAGCGTTGCAACAATCGTTTCCCAGGATACGATGACTACGAACTAGTGTTTGAGCACACAAACAAAAGTTCCAGCGAACGAGAACACAGTATGAACACATAAGGAAATTTTCAGAATGTTGGAGGTGTTTTAGAGCTCAGAAATGCGTGAGGAATGTGTAAGATCGTGTTGTTGCAAACCACCTGTCAGCCATTATATAGGAGGATTTGTTGTGTATAAATGGTGAATTAATGGACCTGAACGTTGGGCATCAATGACCAGTCTCTTGAGAGATAGATTTTTGGACGACATTCGTGTCCGCAGGTCGCCCCGCGCACGCAAGTCGCGGTTTTTTTTCTCCGATTTCGGGATTTGATTTGCACCCCCCCCCCCCCCGCGTGGAGAGAGCCTTTACCCTAAGGAATCTTAACTCCTTAAGGGGGGAGTCCCTTTATAAAGGGTTGCAAATCCCTTGGGTTTTCCGGTGTGGGAAATAACACACTAGAAACCCATCCTTTTTCCCAGTTTTTCCATTCTAACGGGTAAACTTCGAAAAGCGGTTTCTCATTCACCCGTTATCCGTTTTGAGCGTACCATATATTGAATTGTAGCTCTTAACAAGAACAATCTGAAACCACTTTGACCCGACCCAAATCAGAAGTGGACTCCACTCAAAAAATTGCCCCAAAATTACCATTTAATGCAATTTTCACACATTTTTCCAACAACCCCCCACATGAATGAAAATTGATTTTCGAGACTTAAAAAGACACGAAGATAGGAGGACACGTTGTGTTCACCGGATGATCCTTGCATACGGAGAGGTGGGTTTAATCCTTTGAACCGTCCGCTGTAAAGACACATTTATTTACTGGTTGTCTAGTAGACTCGATGTCCTTGAACTATACTGCCGTCGTGTAAACATTGACTTATCTTTACACAAGAACCTTCCAACTTTGTTCCGTTCTCAAGGGTGTGCCCGTTTTGGCCATGGGTCACCGTCATGGTTCTGCAAGAGTTTCTAAAGAACTGGGCCTTTACAGTTCTCCTTTGAAGCGGCCCTCTTCTCTCTCACATAGGTGATTCTTTCACGAGTATCCCGCATACTCTTCCAATGTTATCGAGTAGATCAACATTTTAGAATCATTAAAGCAAACGTTTTTGCTAACCTCGTGCGGGAGTCACTGTTTTAATGAGGAGTGGGTAGGAGTCCGGGACCCCCACAGTGACCATCCTTCGCTCTATAATTTAGTTGTCCCATTTGAACCTAGGACCAACTAGGTTGGGTATCCACTATAGAACTTTTCAACTCACGGGCTTTAGTCCCATTCCTCGTGACAACTTCTCCAACAATTCTCTATCCAATGCCTTGGTTAGCGGATCCGTTATGTTATCCTTTGACTTCACGTAGTCAACAGTGATAACACCCGTTGTGAGGAGTTGTTTAATGGTGTTATGTCGTCTACGATGAACGTGTCTAGACTTACCATTATAGAGATTGCTCTGTGCCCTTCCAATTGCCGCTTGACAATCGCAATGTATGCATATTGGAGGGACAGGCTTCTCCCAACTTGGAATGTCCTCGAGAAAATGGCGTAGCCATTCAGCCTCTTCAGTGCACTTATGCAAGGCTATTAGCTCAGATTCCATCGTGGATCTAGCTATTAACGTTTGTTTCGAGGATTTCCACGACACGGCTGCACCTCCCAAAGTGAAAACATATCCACTCGTGGATTTTGAGTCCTTGATGTCAGATATCCAACTAGCTTCGCTATACCCTTCAAGTACAGCTGGATATCGTCCATAGTGCAGTCCAAGGTTTTGGGTTTTCCGTAAATACCTCAAAACCCTTGCTATTGTATTCCAGTGTTCATCACCGGAGTTGCTAGTATATCTACTCAGCTTGCGAACCACAAAGGCAATATCAGGCCTGGTATAGCTCATTAGATACATTAAACTGCCAATAATCCTAGCGTATTCTACTTGAGAAATACACTCTCCACGATTTTTGGTCAGGTGTACGTTTTTATCTAATGGCATTCTTGCCTCTTGATAATCATCCTTATTAAATTTATTAAGGATTTTATCAACGTAATGGGATTGACTTAGCGTCAGACCGTCAGGTTCTCTAATTATTTTAATCCCAAGGATTAAATCGGCCAGCCCCATATCCTTCATGTCAAATTTAGAATTTAACATGCTTTTGGTAGAATTAATCATTAAATTATTGCTACCCACGATGAGTATATCATCAACGTATAAACATAAAATGACATAGCCGTCTACCGTGCTTTTCACAGACGCATTTGTCACTTTCGTTTATTTTAAACCCATTAATTAACATTGCATGATCGAACTTTTCGTGCCACTGTTTAGGGGCTTGTTTCAATCCGTACAATGATTTAAATAATTTACACACTTTCCTTTCTTGGCCGGGAACATGAAAACCCTCAGGTTGTTCCATATAGATTTCTTCGTCTATATCGCCATTTAGAAAAGCGGTTTTTACGTCCATTTGATGAACTTCCAAATTCCGCAAAGCGGCAATTGCTAGTATCATCCTAATGGAATTTATTCTCGTCACATGAGAATACGTGTCAAAGTAATCATGGCCTTCATGTTGCTTGTATCCCTTTATTACAAGTCTGGCCTTATACTTATCAATGGAACCGTCCGGTTTCATTTTACGTTTAAAAATCCACTTGGATCCCAAAGGTTTACATCCCGGAGGGAGATCAATCAATTCATGTGTGATTTTTTAGGATAGAATCCACCTCACTTTTGATGGCTTCTTTCCACATTGGTCCTTCGGTAGACGTTACGGCTTCCGTATAAGTCTGTGGCTCATTTTCTACCAAACATGTTAGAAAATCCGGTTCATTTTCTACCATACAAGTTAGAATATTCGAATCGAATTCTACCAAGTATGTGAGAAAATCCGGTCCGAAGGATTTTTCAACTCTAGCACGTTTGCTACGTCGGGGTTCGGCTTCTTCACCGGATCCCTCGCTAGTATTTTCCATAGCTACGTCAAACGTTCGTTTTGACGTGCTAGGTCCATCGTTGGACTTGCATGGAAATACGTCTTCAAAGAATGATGCATTCCTTGACTCAATTATTGTGTTTTTATGTACATCCGGATTATTCGAATCGTACACTAAAAACCGATAAGCACTACTATTTTGTACATATCCAATAAAAAAACAATCCACCGTTTTTGGACCTATTTTTATTTTCTTAGGTGTTGGTACAAGCACCTTAGCAAGACACCCCCACACTTTTAAATATTGATAGGAAGGCCGTCTGCCTTTCCACAACTCGTACGGAGTTTTATCATATTTTTTCCGGGGAACCTTATTTAAAAGGTAATTGCTTGTCAAGATTGCTTCGCCCCACATATTTTGTGGCAAGCCCGAACTTACTAGCATCGCGTTCATCATATCTTTCAATGTGTGATTCTTTTGTTCGGCAACACCGTTTGATTGAGGTGAATAGGGTGCGGTACGTTCGTGTACTATACCCACACTAGCACAAAAGTCACCTATTGGTGCTTCATACTCACCACCTCGATCACTTCTAACCGTTTTAATCCGTCGATTAAGTTGGTTTTCCACTTCATTCTTATAAAGAATGAATTTATCGATTGCTTCATGTTTATTTTTCAACAAATAAACATAGCTATAGCGAGTGCTATCATCGATAAAAGTAATAAAATATTTATTACCGCCACATGTTTGTATTGATTTAAAATCACAAACGTCACTATGAATTAATTCTAGTGGTTCCGTTTTTCTTTCAACCGATTTGAAAGACATTTTCGTTAGTTTTGCCTCAACACAAATATCACATTTGTGTTTCACATCAATTGTCAATTTAGGAATGTGTTCCATGTTAATTAATCTACGTATAGAATTAAAATTAACATGTCCTAGTCTACCATGCCACACATTGGAAGAC